CACCCACCCACCCATGTATTTACACAAATCTAAAATCTGTTCTTCTATGCTCTCCATAAATACAGAATGGCAAGAATGTGGTATCAAGGCTAAAGAAAAAGGTAACATCCACAAAGCAAATTCCACTCACGCAGCAGGGGGCAAGGATGTGCTGAATATCAGTGAAAAGAGCAGCATGGGGTATTCACACTTATCAGAGCTACTAGTTTATCCCTCAAGAACTCACTTATTTGGTGCAGAGATCAGTAAAGACAGAGATCAGTCAAAACCACTTTAAAGCAAATGTAAATTAAAGCTTTTCCAGTAGAGATAGGTTTATTTCCTAAAATCTTAGGCACAAAAAAAACTCCAACATGTTACCTATGATAGTTTTTAAAGGAAGAAAAAAGCCACATCAGTCCACAAATTATGTTTTAAAATTATGACATTCAATTTTGCAGCAGAATGAAAGGTATTTAAGGAAAAAAAAGCTTGGTTTGCGTAACAACAGGTAAAGTTAGGCATTAAACTGGCAACGAAAAAGGAAAACACATAACCCAGCACTCTACACTCTACACAGTTCACAAACCTTTGTGTAATTTACTGGGTTCTATAATTAAGGATGTATAAAATAACTTCTAGGTTGAATTTGAAGTTTTGTAGATTTTTTTTTTTTTAGAAGCCTAAAGGGACAGTGATCCACTACCATCAAAGCTCAAGAGGAAATAAATCTTAATGTACATTTATTTCTCATATAAATTTTCTATTCAACAGTTTTTCAACTTTAAGCCTTTGTCTCATTCCTAAAATACTTCAGGATTTTTTTTAAATCATAAAGTCTTATATAAGACCTAAATGGAATTTGAAATTTTGTTTGAAAGTATAAAGACACAAAACTGCTGCTGCTAAGTATGGGCTACCCAGTTAGTCTAGCTAAATGGAATATAGTCTCCCTTCTGTTACAGATGAAAATAAAATGGCTCTATCAGTTTCCTAACTATTAAATTAAGGCATGAACTAGCAGGTGTGGTGGTACACACCTTTAATTCAGGATTCAGGAGGTAGAGGCAGGAAGATATCTGCGAGATCCAGGTCAGTTTGGTCTATATAGCTGAATTTCAGGACAGCTAGGGCTACAGGGACCTGTCTCAAAATAAACAAATGAGAGCTTTATAACAGGTGTGCTAATAGTCTCTTAATATGTTTAGTCTTTAAATCTTACTAGCCTATGAATAAGATATTTTAAAACAGAAATCCAGAACAGAAATATTTAATAAATTGTGTTGAGACAGCTGTTTTGAATAAAAATAAAATTCTTAAATCTTGCACCATATAGAAAAATAGATGATAGATCAAGAAGAAGCAAAAATGCAAATACCCCAAATTCTACACACAATTTTGGCGGGGCTGACAAGCTCTCTGAAACCCACTTATGGATTCCAGATTACTGTATAGAAGAGGAACTGTTCATTTTAATTTCTATAATGTTAAAATCTCAATGCCAAATATAGATGCATTTTCAAGATTAGGGCACATGCAAAAAATGAAGAAGAACACATTAACTTATTATTATAACTTTATAAAACCTCCAAACTGGAACTAGAAACAGAAATGTCAATACAAATGAATGACTTAAAAAAAAACACCAATTTAAATAATTTTGAGTGCATATCATACAAGTGCGTCCATGTCTATTAAGCCTTTCAGAAGTAGAACTCATCTACATCTGTAGCTCTTGAATGTCATTCTCAAATTTGATTAAAATAATAAATACAAATTATGTTTAATATGAATAACTGTAACATACTCAAATACTTAAACATATTGTAGGAATTCTGTAATAAAACGCAATACATTCACCTGCATTACTCTCATACACAATGGAAAAATAATTAGCATTAAGAATGCAAATATACTTTTACTGTGGAACAAAATTTATAGTAGTAAGGTTAGAAATCATATTTGTATAATCTACAATGAAGCTGTAGACAGTCTATATTAATTATGATACTCAAGTGAAAACAATATTTAAGTTAACAACGAATGTATTTGAGTCAAAATATGTTTATTACAGAACAGGATTTTATAGTAAGCAAGGCAACATTAGATTAACCATTTCAGATTATTTTTAATTACGTATAGCTTTAAAACTGTAATAAAGATGATCAAATTCTAACATGCTCTTCTCTTATAAATGGGATGATGTAGAAAAGCAAAGCTTCAGTGTATAGGGGTTGGAGCCATCTGTAAGTATTGAGAAAAAAAAGTTAATCATCAAATTTTCAAAATCACCTTGAGTTAGTAAATTAATCTGCCACTTGACAGTACTGTCACTGTGCTGAGACCACTGAATAGGCAACGAAAAGCCACTCTGAGAAGGCCACACACCTGTTCTTGGGTATCTTACTTTCTTCTGCATAACTGTTCTTTCTTATGAGAATAACTTCACTGAACCTTAACTCAACTTCTATTTTCTATGCTGAAGTCACAAACCATGTCCTTCCCTGTCCTCCTTGACTATCTAGAGTTCCTCTGAAGCACTGTTGGAGAGACATTCCCCCAAACAGCATCATACAGGTCTAGTATTCCTTCAAATGATGAGTCTCTCAAGTCTACCTTAGACCAGGCAGGTGGAGACTTTTTAAAGATTAATAAATTAAATATTTAAAAAGACAGGGAAAATTATGGGGACAAGAGAAGGGAAAAAGAGCAGCTCACAGATGGGTGTGGCAGCATATGCCTTTAATACCAGCACATGGGAGGCAGAGGGAGGAAGATCTCTGTGAGTTTGAGGTCAATCAGTTCCAGGCCAGCCAGAATTACACAGTGAAACACTGTCTTAAAAACAGCTCCTCAATAGAATCTGGTGAAACCTATCACCAGCTTGAGAAGCAAGAATTCTAGCATAATCATCTGCCATGGTGGTTGCTGAGATAATTCCTTTCATACATAGATGTTTACATTAAACTGGCAATGAACCAGGCTCAAAGCATGAATGACTACAACTTTGGACAGGGACTCATTCCTTTATAGCTCTTTCTTGGCAATCTCAGACAAGATCATTAATTTTGTTTATAGTAAAGCCATCTTACTTTTTGGCATCTTCATGATTAATTATATCAACTCTAATCCTGACTCAAGCCCCTCGGGAACCTCCCTGTGACATCATTTTAGTCCCTTAACAATCTTTTGGAGATAACAGCTTCAATCCCCACCAAAATCCTTCATGACTTTTGTCAAGACAATGAATGCAGTGTGACTCAGAGAAGCCCATTCCTTTCCTCTTGAGCTTCTCCTCCATTCTCTCAACCCTCTTAAAATCTGTATTAAAATTTTTATTATATTCCAACTATCAACATTCCTGAAAGCAATTCCTACTTAGTAACTGTGACATATGCACAGCAATCACTTACTTGGAACTCTTATCTGGTAGTGATTAAGTGCAGTAAGAGCTTCTACGGCATCAGTTTTGCATTTCCACTCTAATAGCCCAGAAAGTGTTTTGGCAGAAGCTAAAACAAAACAAACACAAACCCAGTTAGTTGCTAATTGTCATAAATTTTTCCAGAAAACTTTAAGATGATTTTCACTGACCTTTTGCATCAAACACTTTATACTTGATGAATGTAAGAACTTCGTGGTCATTACACAACTGCCAAAGAAAGGTAAAGCTTCATTAGAAATACAGCCAAATGCCCTTTCAAAACAAGAAAAACCTGCTTTATAGTACCATTGAAGTCTTTAACATAACATGAACGAATTAATGTACTTTCAGGTTAATATCAAGCTCTATTAGAGGAAAAAAAAGCAAAATTCTATATATAAATAATTTCAGGTATAATAAAACCAGATTTTTAAATTAAAATATAGTTCCTCAGCTTTTATGAAGATTTAATATCTAGAATTCCAGAAAGTAAACTGTTTTCAAGTTAAAGAATAAAAGAAGGAAAAATATAGAATTTTGTTATCACAGTGAGATTTAGGTAAAGTAACTTTTCTGTATTTTTTGAGCCAGGCAATCCTACTGCCTCAGCCTTCCAAGTATGATCTACCATACTCAGCCAAAATAACTTCTGAATATAGAAGATATCTCATTCTAATTCTCAAAAGGACTGAGCCACAAAGCAACAAAAGACCAATGAAATATAGAAGACCAGAAAAGTACAATGGTCAAGAATGAACTATGAACTATAAAATAAATGTTATCAAAAGCAGAATTAAGTGCTGATCATGGTGACATGTCTGTAAGCCTAGCACCCAAGAAGCAGACGTAGGGCAAGCCTGAGCCACAAAGAGAAACCCTGTCTCAGGAATAAAGTACATGTACAAACATGAGGAGCCATAGCAGTGTCTGCCTATAATCCCAGTGCTGAGAGGCAGATAGGAAGATCCTAAAAGCCTCTGGGTCAGCCAGTTTAGTCAACTGGTGAGCTCTAGAATCAGTGAGAGATCCTGTCTCAAAAACTAAGGTGGAGTGCTCCCTTGGGTAATACATATACTAAAATTAGAATGATACAGAGATTAGCATGGCCCATGCACAAGGATGACATACAAATTCATGAAATGTTTCATATTTTTAAAACAAAGTTAATGAATATAAAGTAAGGTAGCCAGGTATGGTGGTGCACTAAGGAGACAGAGGCAAGGAAATCCTGTCTCCAAAAACAAACAAACAAAAAAAATCAATAAATAAAAGTGAAGAATAGAGGAAGACAATGCAGCATCTTCTACCTCTGTTTTCCACATGTATGTATACCAACGAACTCACTTTAAAACCAAAACAACATGCCAGATGTGGTAGTAAGTACCTTTAATCCTAGCACCAGGGAGTCAAGGGCAGTTGTGAATCTGTGAGTTCCAGGCCAGCCTCGTTTATACAGAGTTCTAGGCCAGCCAGGGCTACACAGTGAGACCCTGTCTCCAAAAACAAAATAACAAAACCCCAAACAAAAAATACACCAAACTCCACAAATTTTTTAGAAAAATTTTAAAATGAGGCTAAACTATGAAATAGTACATAAACTTAAAACAGGAATGACAACATTCTATACAGTTTTCTTCAGTGCTTACCTTTGTAAAGGTCTCTTCTGTGACACACAATGGAACATTATAATAATGCAGGACACATGAGGGTGGTTGGATTATATTCTTAGATGCTTGTCCAGCACTTGTAAAGCGATTATTTTTGCTCATTGCAAAATCTTTGTAGCTACTTGTGCCATCCTCCAACTCAAATATTTGACTTGGAACAACTGAATGTTGTTTAGATACACTGAAGATTGGGAGGAAAAAAAAACACATCTTGTCAAATAAAAAGCAGTAGTCACAAAATGCTTTTATGAACAACAAGTCATGGTATAGTTACTTAAACACAGAACAATCATCCCTTGGTATCCATGGTAATTGGTCCAGGACCCCCACCCCCACAGCAAGAAAAAAACCCGAGGATGCTCATCTCCTATTAAATGCTATAGTACGTAATAGAACCTACGCATAATCTTCTATATCATTTATTCTTTTGGATTTTTTGAAATAGGGTCTCATAAATTCCAGAATGGCCTTCAATTGCTGATCCTCCAATTTCCACTTCCCAAGTGCTGGAATTACAGATGTGTACCACCATGCCTAATTTATGATTTTCCGAATAACGTAAATCACCTCTAGAATATTTATATCTAGACAGTATAAATGCTACATATATAGTTGTATTGTTTAAGAAATTAAGTCTATATACTTCAGATATAATTTTTTCTCCCAAATAATCACCCGTGGTTGGCTGAATCAATTGGTACAGATTCCATCAACTATATACAGTTTGCATTATAATCTTCTTTTTTTTTTTTTTTTTTTTGTTTTTTAAATTTACCCCTTTTTTTTTTTTTTAACTTTGGACAATGTAAGCATGATTCTAGCCTT